AGAAAGAAAGAAAGAAAGAAAGAAAGAAAGAAAGAAAGAAAGAAAGAAAGAAAGAAAGAAAGAGAAAGAAAGTAAGAAAGAAAGATTAGCAGACAACGGTTTCCCCAAATGAACGCACACCTAGCAAGCTCATTCCTAGCATTCCAGTTCAAGGCAGGCACAAGTCTCACCACTGGGTCATTTGACATGATTGACATTATTTGCTACCATTAGCCACCACTATATAGTTGCCCTCTGACCTCTGGTGAGCGTGTTGTTTGACACAACTTTAAACAGTATGGTTTAATCTCCATGGGAAAAAAGCCCCTGAATCCAGACACAGCCTCTCAGATCAATCAACAATTAGAGATAAGATAATAGGGCTCTAATCTCCAAGGTCAATGATTCATCTTCCTCTCTCCCTCCGCTTCCACAATATCATAACACACCCAAAGCATTAATTGCTACCAGTGATGAGTATGTATTTCACTAATGTTTGTGTTTGTGTGGTCTGGGATGTTGTCTGTCTTTTGACAGAGTCTGACATACCAGGGAAAACCTTTACAAAAACAGCCTTTACAGACTGACGCAAGAATAAATCAAAAAGTGAAACGAAGATGAATGTTGTGCAGCCCCAAGCACATACGGCTGATTAAATCTGAGACATTTTCAACATTCATTTCAGCTCTGAGTTTAGAAATATTGAGGAGCTTGACAAAATGTGCTGATTTAAAGGACAGGCTGCTTATACTGGAATTAAATGTAAACACGACAAGAAGACTTGTTCAATTTATAATCTTTCACTAAAAGTATAGACACAGCTGTTCCATAGAAAATAAGACAACTCCGATGTTAAAAAGTGAAACAGAAAAAGCAAAATAAAAAAAGATAAAAAAATAAGGTACACTGTAATTATTAAGAGCAGGAAACTTTTTTGTCATTCCCTTAGCCAATAACCTAGTGCAAAGAGTCACTAATTATTTGAAGTTTGATTTAAAATGATGTAATTTAATAAATTGCAATGCAAATATTTGGTACACACTCGCTGAAAAAAAATGTACAAGACAAGTTTAGATAGTTACAAACACACCAATCAGTCATTAATTTGTAGCTGAACATGAAAATCCTGGAGAGTAAAGCCAAAAAAACATTTCACAGTCACATTTCAAGATGATTTCACCTTACTTTAAACTTTATTTAGACTGCTTTTGTCCGGTAGCCATTATACATTCTCTATATAGTCTCGACATTTATCTCTTTGCTGAAATCTTCTTCTGCTGCACACCTTGAGTGAAAGCATTGCGTGCCAATCAGTCAAAAATCACTTTTCACAGCTCCTCCGACTACCACAAGCTAAGATAAAATTGCAAATGTTTGTGATAACCTGATATTCAATTAAAAATTGTACTTTCCTCTCACAAACCCCTTAAAAGGTTTCATTGCTGGAGCCAAGTGTTCCTGGCTAGGATGCAGGGCAGCAGAGGCCTGGTACAGGCACCAAAACACCTGAAGTAGATTAAACTCAGAGGAGCCTGAACTGTGACCCCCCCACACTGAGTAGCAGGTGTGAAACACAGGTTAACAAGAGAGGAGAAGGTAGGGGCCGGAGGGGCCAAAATAGTTGGCGTGAGTACGCCTCGGGCCTGGCGATAGAGTGACAATGGCTCTATGGCACGCACCACAGGCCCCGCACTGGGATGTGATTGGAAGTGACTTCTTACAATAAGCAAGCGCTTGGGCTCAGGCACAGCCATACATCTTTAAAATAAATACCTTTAATAGAAAGGCTTCCTCTCCCACATGCAATCAATTTGCTCTTGTCCGTCAGTGCAGCCTCTGCCCCCCTTTAACCTGCTAACCTCTCCAAACACTCAAGTACAAACCCTGAGAACGGCCCCCCAAAAGAAAGTGACTTACAATAAGTCTCATCTGTGGAAAGTTCACAATTCTCCAGCACTTTCTGCTTTTGACACCAACTCTGATTGGCTTCCATTGTTCCTCTTAGATCTGGGAGAATCTACAGTATGAAAGCAGCTGAAAGAACCAGGGACAAAAGTAGAACAGTGCTGTCAGAGCAGAACTGATATCAATTATTGATGTCACGCATAACATGTTCTTTCCTTGAGGTAGCGCAGCATACATTTGGACAGTTTAAGCACTGTAATTTAAGGCTGTTCTCTGGGCGCTGGGCTCGTACAGTAGCCTGATAATTGTTTAAATCTGTTTTTCCCCCAGAGAGCCTTACGTGGAGTGGGAAGAGGTTATTAAAAGACCTTTTCCATCCTGCGGGGAATGTTCCCCCCAGTCTGGGGAAGTGTTAATAACTACTCTTAACATGATGCAACAGACTTTCCCTACTGATGCACAGACGGTAAAAACCCTTTGTGCCAGAAACCCCCCGTGGAAACTAAACTGTGAAAGTTGTGCATGTGCGAGACACAACAATGACGATCGAGAAGGCAGGTGCAGCTCTCTTTTGAAGATGTTCCATGAAAGCAAAGAGGTCGGGGATAGGCGTCCTAACGTGGCTGATCTCCTTCTCGCTCAGCCAGATGTCTCGGCGGGGCCATGCATATGGAAGCACTCCCCAAAGCAAACACAAGAAACCTCAGTACTAGCAGGAACCATCCACTGAGCAATAACAAAAAGACCTCACCCCAAACCGGCCCCCAGTCCACATCTCTCTGGCTCGCTTAAACACATGCAAGCTCATACACACAAAAACCCACACACAGATGTGCAGGTTCAGAATAAAAAAGTGCCCTCCACCCCTCTTTGGCGTATACACACTTCAACACACCTGCCACGGCGGTACACGTTTGTTCGCTCCCTTGCACACATTTGCGAATACATCACCGTATCCCAGATGAAAAATTGATCCCGGACGGATAAACCAATCTTGTAGCCAGCTGTCCTTTGATCAGCATGCATTACTTCTAACTGAGGTCTGAGGGCCCCCTTTCGCAAAAGTTTTTTTGATTTGAACTAAGACCTGAGGACCAGGCTGGTTCTATCCTAAGGGAGGTAACTGAGAAGACTACTATCTGTGCTAACATACCCTTATATTACACCACTGATTTATCAGTTCTGAACACTGCCGCTAAAGCGCTTTAATGAGCAAACAAGCTTATAAAGATGGACCTGTGATCAAGATGACCTAACGGGGCTGCTGGGCTCCATATGCACTCGGGTCTCGGAGGTATGTGCATTTCTCTCTGTAACAAAGAAGAGAATCCAGAGATTACTTCAGACTGCGGATGTACATGGAAGTGAATGACGAATGCTCAACGTAGGGCTGTGCAGGCGATTTTTTTTTACGTGATTTTGTGTAGCTTGTCAGTGAACTACGGCTCTGTGTTGTAAATGCTGCTCCATCTGAAAGCACGTGCTGGAGATTTACTACTAATCACAGAAGCGGCTTTACTGACGAGATGCGCATGAAAATCGCATTCGATGTTTTGCACAGCCCTAGCTCAACGTCAGGGTTTAATTGCTTTTGTAAAGCACGTGCTATTGAAATGGCTTTTACTAAGAGAGAAGGATTTAGCACATAAAGGAAGGGATTAATTGAACTTGATCCCTTATGATAACAAAATTAACGTCCATTCTGAGACAGAAAAGCCCAAGTTATTGTAGAGAATTGAACTAGCCAACTGGATTGTTATCCTTACAGATGCTCAAGCATGTTTCTTTGACTGAAAGGCCTCCAAGTTTATCATCCAAACAGAATTCATATTATCACAGTTTTTCCTCTCCAATGTTAAAAAAAAGAGTAGGAAGTTTTCAAAACAGCCTAGTTTCCCTTGAAAAGCCCCTGAGTAAGAGTGGAGTTCTCCAAGTCTTTCTCCTCCTCTACTGGCTTATCAACCAAGAGCTCAAAATGGGCTGAAGCTCTCCTGGCTAGGAAAATCAGAAATGGGATCTCTTCAATTTGCCGTTTCCCCTACTCAGCAATGACACCGAGGGATGTGTCTTTTTTTACTAAAAAAAATTTTAGGAGAAACATCTGTGACAAAGGTTGATCTCAGAGCATCTCAGAGTTGCACAGACTTGCCAAGTGCTGGTTATTGGAACCCTTTTTTTACCTTGCGGACTCGGACGCACTAACTAGCTGAAGATGACAGTCAGATGACAAACATACCAGGCATCAACAACCAAAACTAGTCACGCAAGAGAGACTCAGTTGACCTTACAATCATCCCAATTATCATCTTAATTACTCACCAAAAAACTACTGAATGCAGATAAAAGGAATATGCATTCAAATACAAGTTGTTGATTGTGAGAAAACCAATAAATCACTTGACACTTTGAAGAGGATTCACCATACTGGAGTTGTTTTTGCGATAATCCCCAAGCCAAAAAAGGTGACTGCTTTGACACGTCCTATCACAGGACAGCCGGATAGACGTTGCCTGTGAGAAACGAGATGATGGGTTTTAAGTCTCATTACATAAAGAGTGTAGCGTGTAAGAGACTTAGTCTCCAAGCATGTTATTTAACTTTGCTGCACACCGTACCCTCAAATTCACACCAGCCCACAATCAGGTGGGAACAGAGATGAAAGGGAAGAGACAGCGACAGCTCTGAAAGAATAGAGAAAGAGAAAAGGAGAAAAAATACGGCCTTGCAATATTGGAAAAGCATAATTAAAGGGAGACTCCTCTCATGCCAAGCCATTACTGTATTACTGTGATATCCAAGAAATGCTGTGGCACTCTATAATCAAGACCTGCTAAAACACGGCGGAGTACAAGAGCAGTATCGGGGAAGGGCAACTGAAAAATTAAAAAACGTCAGAATCATTTGCGTCTTTAGTTAGCGCTGTAAACAATAAAGCCTCACAAGTTTGTATGTCAATCAAGGGGGGTTTTCACAGCAGATAAAAATTCTGAAATTCTCATGCAACAGTGGATGATTCTATTAACTATAAACACAGCGGCTTTTAAAAAGGTGAGTCATATTACCTCAGGTGGTATAAAGGCTAATTACAGGCTGTAAGGTTAGAACATTTAAAATTACACATCTAAATACTAATTGCCAGATAAGAAACCACCAATTACCCTTAACATCATGCGCAAACGGACTTTGCAATGTTATGAGAGCACATTTACATCAGGCCAGGGAGGGAGGAGTGAGTGAGAAGTGGGAATTTTGAGGAAGAGATTATTAGATTGGGGACAAAGGGCTGCAGTACTGTTTAAC